CAAACTACTGACAGGTGTACCTTGCAGACACAAACGCTTGCGATGGTTGACTTCGTCGATCTTCTTGTCGAACGATTAAAAGTATTAAAACCCCATCACTTCATCGCTAAAGAACAATTAACTTTTGTTAAAGATCGAAAAGAGAATTTGAATAATGGCGAAGTACTAGTGCACTGTGATTTCTCAGAAAATTATGCCTTTGTGGCTCAAGATGCTGCTCAATCCTTCCACTCCAACAATGATCAATGTACAGTCCATCCCGTTGTTTACTACTATCGCGAAGGAAACGAGATCCAGCATCGGAGTTTAGTTGTTTTGTCAGATAGTACTACTCACGATACCGCAGCTGTTTACTTGGTACAGAAAATTCTAATACAACATGTGAAGAATAACTGCAAAGATGTCGAGAGAATCATTTATGTCACCGATGGAGCTGCACAGCATTACAAGAATCGTTACCCAATGGCTAATCTTCTGCATCACAAGACTGATTTTGGAATAGATACAGAGGCCCATTTCCATGCAATCGCACACGGTAAAGGAGCTTGTGACGGTGTGGGTGCTGTTTTCAAAAGAGAAGCGAGACGTAGAAGCTTGCAAATCGTCCATGGTGAACCCATCCTGACGCCAGATGCTTTGTTTCGATGGTCAAAAGAGAATTTCAAAGGAATTGATGTGTTTTTTTTCACCAAGGACGAACATGAGAATATAAAAACTGAATTGAGGGAAAGATTTCATAGTGCCAAAGCTATTCCAGCCATTCAAAAACACCATTGTTTCATTCCAAAACCGGGAGATCAATTGTTAATGAAACGATATTTGGCTGCGAAAAACCAAGAAGTTTTTCCGAAACGAAAACAAACAACAACAACAAAACAGAAAGCACTTAGAAAATAGTAATCGTGATGAATAGACGTATAGAAAATCAGTGCAATTGGGCAAGTGGTAGTTGGAGACGGTACATAATAGCCTCTTATTGTAAAAATGTAAAAAGGTCGTTACAGTAAAATAAAACTTGTTTTTACATGTTTCGCACTTCTTTGAATGAGTACTTTGTCTTTCGAAAGAGGCTTATAATGTTGTTGATAGTCCCTCCTATCTAGCAGAAGGGAAAACTGTCGATTGAAAGGTGAAAGAAGCAAAAAAAAGATTGAAAAGAAGAAGAAAAAGAGAAAAGGAGAAAAAATAAGAAAATTGCGAAGAAATCACATTTATGTCATGCGTGCATGTAAAGGGCAGGTTAACAGGGGCGTCTGGAGGTCGGTAAGTCGAATTTTACACGCACCACCAATCGTTCTTCACTTAACAGACGTTCCCAGTTTTACACGCGTCCTATGCTATTTTACTGGTATTTTACACGTTCTCAATAACCCCTAGCGACATCTTGCGGTACAAACATAACCCATTATCCCAACCATACACCGATCAGCTGATCCATTAGACACTATTTAACGAAACAAATCGCAGTGCAAAAAGCTAAAAAATAAACTACATAATAATAAATAATTAACTCATAAAGTGAAATATGAATACACAAGAAGATATGTTTAGTGAACACGATGAAATACTACCGGATAATATACTTCGAAACGCTCAGGAAGCAGAGAAATGCTATCAA